GTTTGGGAGAAGGAAACATATCTTCAAAAAGACTTTTTGTTTTTGACAAAATCAATAATTTAAATTTTTTAATTTATAGTGGAGCAGAAGTCAGTGTTTTACCAAAAAATATTTTCAAAGGTAATGATAAAGATAACAATTTTTTATTAACGTCAGCATCAGGTAAAAAAAAAAAAAAAAAAAAAAAAAAAAAAAAAAAAAAAAAAAAAAAAAGAGCAGAACAGCAAGAGACAAAAAACATCAACAAATTATTATTTTTATTTTACATTTTTTGAAGTAACATGTTCTTGACCTTTTTAATAAAAGAATTTTAAAAAAGAAATTTTAATTATATAGTTATTTTGGTACAGAGAATACCTATATAATATTGGTAATATGTAGTACGAAGCACTACATGAATAGAGAATAAAACCCCCTTTTAAATGAGCTATCACTCACCACCATATGCCATTTAAATTTTTCGAAAGGGTTGCTCCCCTCCAGTAAGGGATGAAATTAAGAGAAAACTATTCATACAAAAATGTACATTGTGGAAATCAAAAATCGACGTGTCTCAGCGATTTTCCTAACAAGCCTCCAGTAACGAGTTAGTTAGGGGTGGTAAGACTTATGATGCTCACTGTATGTATTTCTTTCTGTAGCCAGAAGTATACAAAAGTATTTGTATAAAAATTTAAACTGATCAAAAATGTTCAAATATAGATACGCATGATTGGTCTAAAAAGTTGAACAATCGTTTAAAGGTGAAGATTTTATATAAGTGTCGTTCTTGTAATGAAATCTTTGATTTTGAGAACGTTTTAAAAAACACGAAGTATTTTGATCTTAAAAGAAATTTAGAATTGATACTAAGATAATATAATTTTGACTTTATTTTATATTTAAATTATTTAAAAATTGGTTATCACTCACCAAGGTATAAAATCATGAGCAATGAAGCATTTAGGACATGTAAAATAATTATTTTGTTTCCCTCTCTAGCACTCTCCATTTATTTTCACATTGTGCAGGCGTTGGCCCATTAATTTTTACTGTAATCAGTTCCCGTAGTTTTTCATGTTTTTAATTTGACCTGTCCCTAATTTTTGTTTATATTCTACATAGTTCTAGGAGACATTTTGTATATCTCGTTTTCCAATTTCAAACTGCTGAACAATCAGTTAACTCTTCTCGACTATAGAAATAAAATAATATATGGTTAGTGTTAGTATAACAATGTAAATATATAAAATAAATATTAAATTCTTATATATACTAATGGGATTTAAATTCATATTTAAAATTCATAAAATACCAATCTAAATTCAGTATAAAAAAAAACAAACAACTGAAAATTAACCTTTTTTTTTTTATTTATTACTGGTAATCTTAAGTATTTTACATTTTCTAGGACCTTTCATTTTCCTATTTCCCTGCTATAGGAGTTTTCCTCCTTTTCAGGGTGGTCTGCCCTGATTACAAAAGTAACCTAGCTAGCTAATTTCCTAAATTGTTGTGCGCGTGTGTGGGACCTGTGTGGCAGGTTGTGTTCCCCAATAATATCGCCAATTTTGCTATTTCCAACCCCATAAATGGTATAAGGTGGGGAATATGATTTAGGAAAACCACAAAACCTAAACCACGATATTGTACATAAGTTTTGACTTTCTAATTAAGTAATTGGGAAGGGTTTATCTTATGCTTAGGGGGGGCTGATTCCAGCAGCTCCTAGAGTTCAGCGATGAGGGGGAGGTCTTGGGCGTCGGTGAGAAGTTTTAGATTAGGCTGTGACATTTTTCTTTTCGGTTTTCGAAAGAGAGGAAGTTGGTTGGGGCGCCATGGAGTTCGGAGTGTGTCTAGGGAGTGAGTGTTTGTGCCTTTCAGCGTGCGAGAGACGTATTGTTTCCTGAGGGTCTGGAAACGTGTGAGGATGGGGGTGTTGGGGGTGTTTAGGTAGACTTCTCCACTGGGGGAGCGATAGGGGAGGTACTGGCAGCGTCTGAGAATACGTCTCTCAAGTGTGGTAAATTTGTGGGACAGGTATGTGGGAAGTACTCCGTAGGGTATAGCTCTGTATTCAGCAACGGGTCGGATGAAGGAGTTATATGTGTGAATAAGGATGTTTGGGTTACAACGCCCCATTCGTCCGTACAAAGCTCCAAGGAGACTGGCTTGCTTTCGCATCTTGTCAAGAGTGCGTTGGACATCAGAGGACCAGTTAAGTGTACGAGAAAATTGTACCCCCAAATAATCGACTTCAGTCTGTTGAGCGAGCCTGACTCCTAGGAGATTTACGTTTACGAGTTGGGGGTTCTGGGAGGTTCTTTTGGAATTTGGGTGTTTGAAGACGATAAATTGGGTTTTCTGTGGATTTAATGAGACCCTCCATCTGCTACACCAGTGAGAAAACTGGTTCAACAGATTTTGGGTTCGAATATTTAGTTGGTTAGAATTTTTGGCTACCGAAATTAGAGCTGTGTCGTCTGCGTATAGCAGACATTTGGATGTGGGGTGGTTTGGGAGGGGAATTTCGTGAGTGTAGATGAGGTAGAGGAGAGGGGCCAGGACGGAACCCTGTGGTACTCCTGCTAGTGGGGTGAACGTGTCGGATAGGGAGTTGCCCACTTTGACGGTGATTTTTCTGTCAGAGAGGTAGGAGTGTATGAGTTTGGTGATTTGGGGAGGGAGACCTATGTTCATAAGCTTTTTGACTAGTCCGGCATGCCAGACTTGGTCAAAGGCTTTTTGAACATCAAGGAGAACGGCTGAGGAGATTTGCTGGGAGTTTACCGCTGTGACAGCGGTAGTATGAAGGGAAGAGATTGCGTCCTGGGTGGAGTGGTGGGGTCTGAAACCATGTTGGGATTGGGGTATGATGTTTCTCTCTTCACAAAATTCCCAGATTCTTTCCTTGAGCAGAAGCTCGAGGAGTTTCCCTAGGACTGATTTGAGAGAGATGGGTCTGTATGAATTTAGGGATTTGGGGTCTTTGCCTGGTTTGGGGATCAAAATGGTGTTTGCGGATTTCCAGGCAAGTGGAAAATAGGATAGGGAGAGGCAGGAGTTTAGGATAAGAGTGAGGATAGGAAAGATGGTTTCAGGAAGGTGTTTCAGCGTTCTCCTGTGTATGGAGTCAGGCATGGAGGCGGTGTTTTTGTCTGCTTGGCAGGCGTATTGGATGTCTTGGGGGGTGAATGGGGCGGTCAGGGGGTTTTCTACATCCATAGGGGGAAGTGGGGCGGCAAGTGTCTGAAGGACGTGTTGTTCGGTCTCGTTTTTGAATTGTTCGTCAAAGTGGGGGTTGTCGGGGGTTCTGAATGTGGCTTCGAGGTGTGTTTTGTGGGCCATGGCTTTTTCGTCGGGGGTTGAGTGAATTTGACCGTCGATTAGGAGGTGGGAGTGAGTTTTGGATTTTTGACCCGTGATTATACGGAATTTGTCCCAAAACTTGGAGCCGCCTCTATGATCCAAATTAGAAGTGGTATTGATCCATTGTTGCTGTTTGTGCAAGTTGATTTGGAGCCTGATCAGGGCATTGAGGCGGTTCCATTCTGTTTTGATGACATGGTCGTGGGTACGGACGTATTGTCTATACAGGCGTCGTTTTTGGGAGATGAGAGTAAGGATGAATTGGGGGAGGGCTTTTTGGGCTGTGTTTATAGAAGTGATAGGAGTGGATGTTTCGACGGCGTGGGTGATGGAGGTTTGGACTTCATCGATTATGGTGTCGATGTCCTGCGGGGAGTTGAGCGGGCGTTGCTCTGGAATGTTAGTAGAGATAGTTCTCTGAAATAGGGGCCAATCTGCTTTTTTGAGGTTACGGAAGGTGTGTATGGTAGCTCTTGGCGGAATGGGCGCAAGTAGAGATGTGTGTAACATCAAAGAAAATTAACCTAAAGAATTCTTCTATTTAGTTTTATGGTCTAAGCTGTCAAGACTAAACAGAAGCGTTTCTTCTTCTTATTCTTTTATTGTTTAGAAATTAGGTTAGCTGCATATTAACATTATTCTAGGCCACCCATTAAACGTTTCTTGAGTAGTGACGTAAAATCGTTCATTAAAGCAAAAGTGTTCAGTGATCTAATTCTAATATCCAGGCTACGTTAGGGTCATACACAACTATCGCACAGTTATTTATTTAGCTCTAAAATCGAACCAAAATTTAGCCACTGCGACATTAGGTTGACGGTAAAACCTATACTCGTAGACTGTTGTTTTCTGGCACCTCAACGTATTAAATCAAACCTTCCCGCTGGGTCAATAGCTAACCTTTTAGGCTCTGCGTGCAACATAAACAGTATAAAAAGTTGTTTGCAATCAATCAACATACTAAATTTAAAAAAAAAAAAACCGAAACTAGTTACGAATTTGTTTCCAGCGTGACATGCGCACAATAATGGTTTGAAATTTGTAAGAAACAAGTTTCTGATTTGATGTGAAAACAAATCTAAAGCACCATATCAACGGACATGACAAGGAGAGTGGAAATAAATATATAATAATAAAAAAAAGGATTTATACTTATTTTAATAATTGTAACGACACACCCCAACTTTGTACTAAAGAACTGTTTTTGATGTTATAAAAACAAGGCTTTAATGCCAAAAAAAAAATAATTTACAAATAATAAAAAAAAAAAACTACTGAAGAAGGCACTGATCAGTGCCGAAAGCTTAACCCACACAAACACGAGTTTCATTTCTCACTAGCACCTAAAAACCCAAGAATTACAAAGAAAAAAATATAAATTAAGATGTAAGAAAAAAAACTTTAGAAAAGGAGACTTCCTTTTGTAAAGTTCCAAAATCTAAATGACGGTCGTTTAACAATAAATACAATAATACCTTTTATTTTTCCAATTTGACAACTGTGTTTTTGACATTAGCTGTGCGGCTAGGCCGCTCTCATTGTGAATAATATATAGTTATAATAATAATACTAAAAATCTAAATTTGAAACAACAATAAGTTATACTTTAAAAATCGCGCTCGTCTTATACTAACCGCTACAATTTCTTGTAGGTGGACCGACCATCGAAATAGGAATGAAGTTTCCAACGTTTCGAAAACTGAAAACATTTTTGGACAACCATTGCACGAAACACAACATAAAACTATATACAATACGATATAGAAAAATCATTTCCTCTAATCTTAGTAGAAAAATTAACCGAAAACTAGTTTATTTTGAAATTCAGTATGGCTGTAAACATGGAGGAAGGCCGATAAAGAAGAAGAAAAAACTTTCCAAAAATGTTGGGTAAGTACATTAAATAATGCAAGCTGAGGTTTATATAAATAACAAAAAGGAATCCTTCAACAGATGATTACTAGGGCTTAGTAGAGCTTAGTAGGACTTAGTAGGGTTAACATTCTAAGGGGTGTTCTCGCCACAGAGAAAACGGTTCCTTACGAATGGCGCAGGTTACGAGCGGTTCTCGAGCGCCAGATTTTTGGTTATGGTTTACTCCACAAACTCTCGAAACGGCGTCGAAAGTACTCGGGTAGCTACAGATGGTGATGAAAAATTCCAGGGGTCAGAGGTCACTTAGACACAGGTTATAGTTAGCCACAAGTAACGGGCTTTAATCGTTGCTTGGACTGGTACAGCATTTATCACTAGCTGAAATACAAGGGGGAAATAAAGTATGGAGTTAGTAACCAGTAATACGGCAAGTTAACATTGACACATATATTGTTTTGAACTATTTACAACATAAAGAAAAGAAATTATATATTTCAACGCCCACCCCAGTTGTGGTGATAGTCAATAAAACCCTGAACAAAAAAAGAGAAACAGAACGGTATTGAATCCCGACTAGTCTCAGTCAGACGTCAAAATTTAATTAAAATAAAATTAATGTTTCGGTCGCAGAAAAAAAAATTATTAACTTGGCTATTTACTCGGTAATTAAACTAAAACATAATTTCCCATTTCGGTAAGGAAAAATTCTAAGAACGGTCGTAGCAAAAATTAACTGTTCAATTGTTGTTTCGGGAATTAAACTAAAATGTAGGTATTTTACTATTTCGGTAAGGACAAATTAGCTAAACGGTCATAGAGAGTGCGAGGAGACAGGAACGCGAAATAATTACTTATAGTAAATATCCGGAAATGAAAAAAAAAATAAATTTATACCCGGGATAGCCTATTATCCCAGAATGAGCTGATCGTCACCACGAGCCCGCTCAGACAGGGTAATGAAGCTATTTAAGATTTTTTTAATTTGCAATTTGCACGAAAAAATGAAGAATACAAACGGAATAAGAAAACTAACGCGGATAGCACCTAGTCCAAGAATGAATTGATCGACATCACGAGCCCGTTCAGACAGGGACGAGATACTATTTAAAGTTAGGTAAATTGACGGTAAAAGAAAAAAACAAATTATTATCGGAGGGAAGAAAATTACTAACGCGGATAGTACCTACTCCAAGAGTGAACTGATCGTCACCACGAGCCCGTTCAAACAGAACAGGATACTATTTAAGATTATTTAAATTTGCGGTTTACAGATTAACTAAAAAGAAATATAACGCGGATAGCACCTACTCCAAGAGTGAACTGATCGTCATCACGAGCCCGTTCAGACAAGGACAGGATGCTATTTAAGATTATTCAAATATACGGTAAAAGAATAAACTATTAAAAGAGGGAAAACGTCTCCTCGAAAACTCCGTTTATAAATATTCCCAACTTAATTACAACGCGGTACTTACTAAACAAAAGTATTTATCAATAAAATCAAATTTAATTCCCGATTTAACCTACCAAAAAGAAAAAAAATAATTTCTTAATACAGACTAACGATCAAAAGTCTGAATCCCCGGTTTTACAATATTACAGAATTAAATCCTATCATGTATTATTTAAATCAAATTCTATTCCTTTTAGAGAAACGGTATATTAATGAAATCAAATTAAAATCTTTTAACTCAACACTATCTATAAAAACGGTATTATTTTTGCCAAGAAACAAATTCTAATATTTATTAATGAAATCAAATTTAAAATCTTTTAACTCAACACTATCTATAAAAACGGTATTATTTGCCAAGAAATAAATTCTATTATTTATTAATGAAATCAAATTAAATCTTTTAACTAAACACTGAATGAAAATGTTCCTATTCCTACAAGCTAATTCGGTTTTTAAAATGAAATACGGTCTCAATATAAAACGTAAAAAGCGTTTACCTAACGGATTTGTAAACACGAGAAAGAAAAATTATCGGCGGTGAATTGATTTTTGGTGCGGCTTATTATTCTCAACTGGTGACGGTCAAATATTATATCGAACTAAAAATTTTAAATCCATCTCGGGACTCGTTCAACTGTAGATTCCCTTTCCCTATCAGAGACCCCTCCAACGCCCAAACCCACCGCGCAGCGATATCTTGATCGGCGTTCGCGAATCCGTAAATTAACCGTTCAATCGCGTTTAATATTTATTAAAAATGAAAAATGAAAATAAACTGATTGAGGAAAAATTGACTTCATTACAACATATGAAAAATAAGTTAATTAGTAGACTATAAATGAGAAATCAACAATAAGCTGCAAAAAGCGTTTTAATTAGAAGAAAAAGAAGACATTTCTAACGAGACGATCCATAATATGCAACAACCTAAAATCAGGCCAGTTACTCCCAATAAAGTTACAAGTTATCCTAATTTCTAAGCCAGAAAAACTTCCAAAGTCTCATCATATTGACCAGTATCGTTGTTACCAATATTATCTAAGGTGGCTGAGAAGCTACTACTAAAAGGACTAAAATCAAAAATCGTAGATAAAAGCAGGACCAATTACACAGGTTAGGTAATATCATCGAGAAAGCGTACGAAGCTATATTATTCGATATCGCCTAAGTATTTGACAATGTTTGTCACGTTGGCCTGATACAGAAACTGTTTACAATATGTCGATAATATTAAATCATATTTAACGGGGAAGAATGTTAAGTGTCCCACAGGATAGTGTGTGTGGACCGGTTCTTTATTTATTATACACTAGTGAAATCCGTCGACAACAATGTGCTAAAATAGCAATATGTGCGGATGGCAATGTAATATTGCAATGGGTCGAAATACAACAGCACAGCACAGAACTTATAATTTATTTATTTAAGAAATATGTATTATGTTGACCTCCTCTTTAAAAGTCCGAAAGTTCTTCTAATTTATTGATGGTTTGTGGTGTATTTTTGAAGACTGCTTCATTGATCATACGTGTCTGAAAAGGTTTGATCTGGTCGTCTACAAATTATGTGCTACTACGCAAGTACTGTTTGTTATTTTGAGCCATACTGTAGTACAGAAAACTCCAAATTAACTTTACTATATGCTAATCTACTTGAGAATTTATTCATGTATTTTAATTCCTCCTTTCCCTATGGCATTCAATTATCTTAAATTATCTTACTCTAACTTAAAGTTCAAAAAATTTAAAAGTAGTTATATTCATATTTTCTTCTTCTTTGTTAATTTCGAATCGGAATATCGCATTATCTGGAATATCTGGTCTAGTGTACCTTTATTTGTAAGGAACTTAGGTTTACATCCATATTTATTTTCTTTCTTTTTATATCCAGGTAACTACGCAAGATCGTAGTTGAAAGCATAACTGTTGATCCGATTAAAAAACATATGTAGGAATAAACAATAGTTTTAAATTCTAAATACAGTTAATAAGCATCCCTTATCACATGATTATTTTCTTTTAGGTTAAATCCTGATCCATGCCAGTATTACATTACGTTTAGAGCTGATTCAGACGGCCAAAATCTGGAACTGAAAGATATGTGCCTTGACCACAACCACGAAATTACGTCTGAAGCTATTTTGGTTGATTTAGACGGTGATTGCAATGATGAAAATTTCGTTTTAACAGATTTCATTAAATTTGAAGTTAAAAATGAAGATCTTTCTTCATAAGGATTGTTCAAACTCCGCAAATATGGGCCTTAAAATTGCTTGTATAATTGGTATTAGGTTAATAGATGATTTTTAGTTTTTAATTGGTTTTATTTTTAACCGACTTCAAAAAAGGAGGAGGTTCTCAATTTGTCGCAATATTTTTTTTATGTATATTCAGCGATAATTCTTTAACATGGTGTCCGATTTCAATGATTCTTTTTTTGTTAGAAAGGGGGTACTTCAGAGGTGGTCCCATATAAATTTGGTTAAGATGTGGTGATGGCATCTGCACGTTTTTGAAGTCGGTTTTTTTTAATTTCTAATACTTGTGATATAATAAATAATTCTTCTATTCACTATTTAAAAAATATATATATATTTTAAGTACTATAATTGTTTCTCTTTGTAGCCACAAATATTCCAAAGGCCTATATAAGAGTCAAAAGTATTTATAAAGAAATTCCAACTAGCCAAAAGTGCCCAAATATAGATACGCTTGATTGGTCTAAGAAACTGAACAATTGTTTGAAGGTGAATATTAAGAACATGTGTCGTTTTTGTAATGAAACCTTTGAATTTGAGAGCGTTTTAAAAAGACACCAAGAATTTTCGTGTAAAAAGAAATTTAGAATGAAAAGAATACTAAGAAAATACTAAAAAATAGTACATTTTTTTAAAATATTATATTTAAAAATGCTTTATCACTTACAATGTAATAAAACCTTTACATCTATGTAATACACTTTAAAAAAATTATTAAAAATTGACTTAAAAAAGCGTTTTTATTATATTTATAATTTTTAAATCATCTTCGTTTCATTCATTTCTTCTAGACCTTCTCATTCAAAATCCCTTAAATAAATTTTGTTTGTAATTATACCATTTTAATTAAGAAATTTTTATCTGTAAGTCTTTATTTCATTGTATTAGATTGTATTAAGGTTGGCCACTGGCTATATAATAAAAAAACAATCAATATTAAAGTGGTTATAAGAAAACCTTGTTAATTCCGAGTCACAATTGAAAATTAAATATTAAAAATCTAAATTTCTTTAAAAATTTCCTCATTAAAGGTATGTCTTTGGTAACATCATTAGAAAGCTAAGACGATTTTGTATTATTTTGGTCTACGGTTCATTGGCGTACCAATTTTAGTAAGAGTGTGGAAAGCTATTGGAAATTTAATAATATAAATTCCTGTAACTTGTAAACGAGGCGACTTATCCAATTTTAGTGATATTAAAGCTTGATTGAGAAAATTGTTAAGTACTTCTTATTGTCGCATCCTTTGTTACACGATAGTTCCTAATAAAATTGCTAGAATGCGCAATAATATGTAATATGTAAGTCGTTACATGCAAGACAAACTAGTATAAGAATACCCAATGTTGTCGCGAACACAATATATCCCCTGTAGTAGTGCATCTCACTTGTTAAAAAGATGGCACTTAGTTTGCAGCGCTAAATGCGTATGTGTCTGGCCGCTCAACTAACTCGATATGACGGTAAATTCAAAAATAATTTTAAGGAAAACTGAAACATAAAATTGTTATACATGGATTTTAAAGGCTTTTTCGACTGGAAAATATTATCTAGGACGAGGACTCTTGGATAACAGCCATAGCAATCCCTCCTTGAATCCTCGTTTGCTGAGTTTGTTGTTCGTTTTGCTTTCCATATTAAATAAGTAAGCAACACAATAAATATCGCTGAAACAAAATTAATAGTAATAAACAGTATAAATCTCGTAAAAGAAAATATCAAAAAATTATCACTTGTCAATACTGACACTTCACGCTTCGCTTGTCAAAAACTTCGTCTTCAACCAATGCACGTGCCCATGTCAGACGTGTCAAAATTCAAAACGATACTAGCGCCATGTGGCTCCGTGTCTGGCCGTAGTGTAACTTAAAGCCATTTCTTGAATCCCAGTAACATTAATTTTTTAATTAATTAAAATTGCTCAGGCGCCAGTTTTGCTAACGCAGTTTGATCTGCGACCCTGTAGTGTACTGTAAGTAGATACAGTGGAGTTAAAAAGAACCTCCAATAAATAAAACTATAGTACCTCCCACCTTGTACCCTACGGTACCATGAAATAAAACGGTTAAGAGCCGGTAATAAAAGAATAAAAAGAATAATTATCAAAATATATTTAAAAAAAACTCGGGTTACTATAATCGGTACCACTGGTACTCCTGATATAATAAAAAATGAATTTTTAATTGAGAATTGTTTTATTAAATCAAATAAATTGTTTAAATACTAAAGTTAAACAATAAAAAGAAAAGAAATAACTAAAACGACAATAACGGCACTTCCTGTATATTACAAAATAACTTGCCTATCAAATAAATTAATTAAATACAATAGTTAAACCCTTTCAATTTATTTATCCCTCCAGAGGGACACTGTCTTAAGTAACCCTGAAGTATACATTTGTGTTAATTTTAATTGAATTTTTTTTTGGTTTATTTACTTTATTTGCATTATTTTTAAGGATTAATATTATAAAAAATTTATTTTCATAATAAATCTTTGTTTTTTGTAATGTCTCTAATCAGCGACATTGTGTTGAAGTAATAAAAAATATTATGAAAATATTTTAATTTACTCAAAATAAACAAAGAAAACATACAATTTCGAAAACCATTAAACTAAAAATGCAAAACTCGTGTATTTAATGCTGTGAATATGGGGTCCCTGGAGAGGGACAGATCTACTACAATGGTATTTTTAAGCTATTGCTATCGCGGGCTTTGAGCGCAGCGAACGAATCAAGAAATTCCGTAACGAACAATCGAAAGAGAAATTCCGTAACGAAAATAAACCTAACACCCCCCACTCCGACCGGCACAGTGGTGCGTCGTTGAAAGCCGTGCATCGTCTAACGTCGTTTCAGTTCAGCAGACTTCGGCACGGTGTTTGTGTGCGTGTGACTAGACGTATGCGTGTAGACTAACTGCTCATAACTGATTCTATCTCTTTTAGACACAATTTCAGAAAAATTAAATTTGAAAATGAATAATGATCCACAAGAATCCGCAACAAAATATGGGACTACCATTGACGCGGTATTTTCTAGATATTTAGAGGATATCAAGTCTCAAATTTATGTTTCTTATTTCAGTTACCATAAACCTATAGTTTCAATGATAAAATTTCCTGAATAACCTACATGTATTGTAATATATTAAAAATATTTTAAACAATATTAACTTCTCATTTATTCAATAAAAGAAAAAAAATTGTTTTCTTATCGGTTACCACGCTCAAAAAGTGTAACTTGAATTCATATCAAAGAAAAAACTTGAATTAATATAAAAAAAAAATACTGCACAAATAAAATAAATAAATAATTATAATTGAATAAGTTGATAAAAAATGATATGCAATAGCTTTACCGCGGCAGTCCCCGAGTGCCTAACGTATTTTTTTTTAATGAAAGTGGAACTGAAAGAGTTATAACAGCAATAACGGCACTCCCTGTATAATAGAAAACATTTTTCCTATCAAATAAATTGTTTTAAATACAATAGTTAACCAATAAAAAGAAAATATTTACGAAATAATTAAAACGGCAATAAAGGCACATATACTACAAAATGAGCTTTTAATTAATTAAAAGAAATAAATAGAAAAACTGTCTTAGTACGTAGTACGCCGGATTTGAATTTATCAGTGCCTCTAGATTTCGTATTAGGTCTTGACGAAGTTCCTTTGTCGATTTCTACCTGGGAGCTCCTCAGTAGGTTCGATTTTGGAAATTCGAAAGGATTTTCACTATAACTTTTAATAAACTTGTTGGTTATATGTACTAGATAAATTAGGGCTTGACGATGGTTCCTCGTCGAAATCTACGTGGGTGGTCTTCTTGTATGTTCGACTTTGGAAATTCGACAAAAATATTTCACGATAATTTTTACTAAACTTGTTGATAATAAGTACTAGTTGAATTACAGTCCAGTGGAAAAAAAGTAATATTTATGAATAAAAAAACAGCTACTTTTGAATTAAATATTGAAACTGATGCAAAACTATAGTTTAACTTTAGCACAATTTTTTACACGGAAAGGGTTCGAACTAGTTCAGCGGGAGCAGCAGCGAGAGAAAAGAGGTAACGGCGGAACAGCAGGAAAAGAGAGCTCACGGGTTCGATTTCCGAGCAATTCGGAGTGGGAGGTACCATCCTCAGTTTAAATGTTTACTTGCGGAGAAATGAAAAACGCTCTTTTGACACTTGCTGAATATACCCAGATAATTTACATGAAATTGAATGTTCATATCCGAATTCGAATTTCGGTAAATACGGATTTATTTTAAAACTACGAAGGCTCTCGCAAAAGTTTAAAAACGGACATTTCTAGAAAACAAAAATAAGGGGCTCTTGGGAACGTTCCCAGGCGGGAATTAATTAAAATATACATTTTTATAATTAATTAAATATAAAATTTAGTAACTTCGTCAGAGTTGTAGAAATTTTAGCCTATTGCTCTGATTATTTCAGAATCATGTGATGGTATGAATATAAATTCGTTTTTTGTATTACTTCCAAAGATGAGAACTTTTAAAATTAGCATAGGTAAGATGTCTTATCTTTAACCCAATTCAAGTCTAGTCCATCAAAAAATAGTGATACAGTTACCTAAGCTACTTTTTAACTATTACTTTTTTTAGCCGCAAATAGATATTCTTGTTACACGTGTTCTAAAACTTTTTCGACAAATGGAGCTCTCTGGAATCACAAAAAATACACGTGTACCACCAGTACTACATCATACGAGTGCAAGCTATGTGGAAAGCGTACCAAGTACAGGAACAGTTATAGGAGACATTTTAGGGATTTTCATCAACCAGGTTTGGCAGAAGGACATGATATTTGGGAATTTTGTATAACCAAATAATTAATATTTGAGAACTATAATAAAAGAGGGTATTCGCTTGTAGAGTAACGATAAATTTGAAAATTTTGGGTATCGCATATTTATTTCTGAGCTCTTTTATATTTTGTTCTAAAGCTATGTTAGAGTACTTCCATCTTCCTTTCTACTATACCTGGTTACATTGTTTACTTCCTCATTATCAAAGTGTGGATATCGATACAAAGGCTAGATTATTTATAAAATCGGAAATAATTTGAATAAAATTGTCTATATGTGACCAATATTGCTTACCTGCATATTGTTAATTGCATAACTAACCTTTATATGAAAAAAGGAAAATAATTCCAACTCAAATATGATCAAGACGTAAAATAAAATAAATAAAACTAAAAGCCAATATCACAATCTGCCAGCCTGGTTTTTTGGTTCCACC